TAGAAAACACAATAAAATACCGGAAGAATGGAGAACGAATGAACTAATTTTACTACTCACAACGGGAGATAAAAAACAGCCAGAAAACTACAGAGGTATAAGCTCGTTAAATACTAACTAAATACTTAAATACTAAAACTTATAACTAAAATTTTACAAGTGCTAATAAATCAGAGGATAAGTTTAGCAGATGAACAACAGGGTTTTCGTAGTGCAAGATCGCGTACAGATGCAATATTCGTTATAAAGCAAATTACTGAGAAATCACTAGAGTATAATAGACCAACATTTCTGTGTCTGATTAACCTAAAGAAAGCGTTTGACAGAGTAAGACTCAAAGATGTAATTCATCTTATGTATAATAGAGAAGTTCCCCTAAATATTATAAAAACTATCGAAAACATCTACCAAAACAACAAAATGGAAGTCAGAAAAGATGAACAATTTACAGAACCTATAGAAATAGGCAGCGGAATATGACAAAGCGATTCATTGGGCCCCATGCTCTTCAATTTGATCATGGATGAAATCATTAAAAGCGTTAACAAAGAAAGAGGATACAGAATGGGAAACAAAGAAATCAAAATACTATGTTAGGCAGACGACGTAGTCGTCTTATAAAGTCAGTTTAAGACTAATATGCGTCAGAAACAAGACCCGACACAGCCACAACGCAACAGCTACTAAAAACGGCAAAGATGAAAGTACTGAGAAAAATTACAGGAAATACGCTGAGAAATTGAAAGAGAAGTGAAGACATTAAAAGAAAATGTAACGTACAGTAAATGAATGGACACACAATAGAAAAAAAGAATGGAATAAAAACATAAGCAGAATGGAGAAGACCCGTGTTGAAGAGAAGAGTTGAAGCAACAAATATTAAAACTTTAATAAATGTCAAGTCCATGCACGAAAACCTAATTTTTCTGAACAAATACATTGTAGAATAAAAATATTTGTATCTATATTCTTAAAACATTTATCTTATATAATATTATATTCGGTAAACTACTATTTATACTACGAGTCGCATAATAGTATTTTCTTGGTATTGTGTTTTCTTGCCCTAAATTCTCAAAGAAAAGTATTCCACCCCACCCTTTTTACCGCCAATGGTCGTTTCTTGACTTGCGCCTGTCTTCTAATTGATTTGTTTTCATTTTGTTGACAACGTTTTAAAACTATACCGTTGGTGTCGTAGACCATAAATTGACTGGGAGTTGGTTAAACATACCACTGATTAATTACCTTTTTGTCACCGTTACTTCCAATAATTAGTTTCGTGAAACGTCGATGAGATTCTTTGGAAAACTTTTTTACTTTTCCCGGGAAAGTTGTTTGTTATAAATTTTTATGATCGGTGAATCTTGTCATTGTTTTGAGGTACATTTTATTCTATTTATTATTCATTTTTACTTGCTACTTAGGGTTTACTCAAATACCCAAGAATTCTGAATTATCAGCTCATCAATAACTTTCTTAATCGTTAATTTCATCGTGTCTTTTTGTCGTTTCCTTTTTTTTTCGAGTTTAATTGTTTATGCGTATTCCACTGTGTTGTTTTTTGTCCCCTTGTCAGTTTAGATCTTTTTTCAATTAGTTTTTCCGTTTCTTCGGTTATTTGTTGGATTATTACTTCGAGGAAACCGATCCAGGACATCAATATCGAATAGCTATACTCATTTCTAACAAAATAGCAGTAAGTTTTAGACTTCATACAAATAGAATAGCGCTACTGAAACTACGAACAATTCATAGAAACCTAAGTATAATCTAAATTTATGCTCCAATAAGCGACAAGTCAAAAAATTGAAGAGTTTTATATGAAAATGGATGAAATAGGTAATATTATTGATAACAATGATCATTAGAGCCTTTAATGCCAAAATTGGCAATAATTATAAAAAAGATAACAGATGCAAACTATCTTGGCACAAGATACAAACAAGATGGTATATTATTATAGTCTCGTATAATTTTTTGTAAAGAACAATCTTCTAATAGCTAACACATTTTTTTCGGAATTTACCAGAGGAAATATATATCGTAGTTACTTAGAGAATCAGCTTTTTAGCTAAGAAACCAGTTAAGTAGCGCTTTTTAGACTAATGAAATTTAATGTCTCCTCCCTCTTTTTTATAAAGCTGAAATATCCAGATTTATAGACAATTTTCGAACGTTTTAGACAATGGTTTTAGTCTATAAAGCTAAAATCTTCAGTTTCGTACACTAGTGTCATATAATTGACTCGCCTCTTTTCTATAAAGCTGAAAGCGGAGCAGTTGTATAGAAGATTTGGAAAACATTTGTCTAAGAAGCCGACATTGTCAGTCTCATGTCAGTCAGCGGTATAACGCCAACTAATATTTTTTCTCAATTGTTATTATTATTAGCGTAATAAATTATTGTGATAAAATACAGATTTAAATATAGGATATATGCTTATTAGTTGTGGAATTTCCTTTATGTCAAAGGATTTTTATTATTTTTTAATGAATAAACTAAAGACTCGAAGAGATTATTGGAGTGGAGACCAAGAGCCAACAAGCGAAGTCGAGGCAGACCACCCACCCGATGGACCGACGACCTAAGGAGAATAGAAACAAACTTGATTGCAGCAGCTAAAGATAGAGAGAACTGGAGACGTTTGGAGGAGGCCTATATCCAACAATGGATGTGAAAATGGGGCTGGATGATGATGATGATGAAACTAAAGACTCTATGAGCTTTAAACAGGCTCACGCGTTGGCCCTAAAAGTGTACTTCAATTTTTGAAACTACATACTCGTATAGGAAAAGTAAATAATTTAACTTAATTGTTTAAAGCTTCTATTTTTATCACATTTAATCCAAATACTTTTACCTGTAAATATCATCATCATCAATCTGAATGCGTCCACTGCTGGACATCGGTCTCCCTCAGCTCTTTTCATCTATCTCTGTCTTGTGCGGCTTGCATCCAGTTATTGCTAACACGCTTAGGGTCGTCAGTCCATCTAGTTGGTAGGCGTTCTCTGCTCCGTATTGCTTCTTGCCTTGGTCTCCACTCACTCTAAAATACGTTTTGTCCTTCGGTTGTCTGATAATCTGGCGACGTGTCCTGCTCAATTTCATTTTAACGACACGATTTTTTTCATAGCGTTTGTTGTTTTTGTTCTACGACGTATTTCTTCGTTTGGAATTCGGTCTTTCAGAGAAACACCCAACATCTGGCGCTCCATAGGCATCTGAGTCACGCGAATTTTATTTATTACCTTTTTGTGAGTGTTAATGTTTCCTCTCCATAAGTGAGTACAGCTAACACACATAGGTCAAAGATTTTCCTTTTGAGGCATATGGGTAGATCCGATTTAAATACATAGTTTAATTTACCAAACGCTGCCCAGGCTAATCCTATGCGACGTGGGAGCTCACATGTTTGGTTATCTGTGTTATGGCATTAACATTCATCAGGCGACGAACAGTTTCCCAGCTGTCAGATAGTTGATAGTTCTGTGGCCAAACAGGACCGGTTCGGTACCGTGACTGTGACGTGAATGATGTGTCTGAATTGACCTTTAGAAGTTAAAAAACCTGAGGGCTTGTGATTTAGCCCAAAAACCCTAAAAACCTGAACATGTTCTAATAAAGATCCTTCCTCTCAAATATTTTGTAGGAGATTGAATGCATAATGCATATTTCATGGTGGTGGAGAGCTGAGTTTGAAATGAGGTTCAGAATCAGAAACAAACAATTCCCCAAATTCGGAGTTTTGACACTCCGGTAGGTCCGCAAGCAAGCAAGCAATTTACGTAAACCCAACCTGTGAGCACCCTACGTACGTTCGAGTATTAACTCTAGTTAAAAACAGGAGTCACTCCACCGCGTTCCATTGCTCCAGGCAAAGGCAATACCTTTCCCCCCTATAGCACTCATCACCGGTTTTTTGACTTTTACTATGACAGTAAATTTTTGTTTATTCCAGTTCCCAAAAGTCTACATTCGTAACTTTGTTATATTTTTTTGTTTTAATAACTTACTTATTAATTTTATATTAAAAATTTATCTATAATTGTAATTTTTTTTGTGTTACACATGTACTTTATATCGAGATTAGGTATATCAATAGTGTAGGTTTATATTATATGTATGTGTGTATTTTATATGGTAATAATTTTTCCAAAGTTTGTTTATGTAAAGGTATAACAAATAATTTATTTCCTCTGTTACACAAATACATAATACTCAAAGTGTTTGGTATTTCCGATTCTCTTCGTAACATATGAGGAGCGGCGGCTAGTCGGTCAGCCAGTAAATATAAATAAAAATAAGGAATGTTGCCAAATTTCCTGTAATTATAATAACAAATTTAATTTTAATTAACATAAAATCGTTTTATTAATAACGTCTGAGGTCGACGTATAAAAGGAATATTAAATAATTAAATTAGTAATCTTAACTTTTTAAATAAAGTATTATTGTATTATGTATAATTTAATTATAAATTTGAATAATGGATTAATGAAAACAGGTAAATATTATTTGGAAGTGGCTACTGATTAAATTATTTACTAAAATAATGTACATTATGCTTCCAAATAAATATCATCACTGAAACAAGAAAAGTTACATTTTACAGAACTTTATAACCTAGAAGAAATATAACGAAGGTAATAAAATCGAATCTATAAAGGTGTCAATATTATAAAATTGGTTTAACTACATACATATAAAAATGATAATTCAGTCCCAAATAATACTCTGAACTTTATTTTATAAAATTAATATAGAAAACATATTGTTGCAGATGCAAATTTTGGGTTTTTGTGATTTTTTATTATTATTTTTTTAATAATCGCTATATTGAGCTAGTCTTGTAATACGTATTGTTATTTCATTATAATAATAAAACCTATTTCAAACGCCTACATATCTGCAACCAATTTAACAACTAAAATAGTAATATTTGTGGTAGAAGTAGCCACATCTATTCGTTTGACAGTTCGGCTACTTGAACTTGGCAACCATGTACATAAGAAGGAAAATATAACGTGATAAATAATTTTTCAATTCTGATAAGTTATTGTGGATGTGGTATTTAATGATAAACCATAGTTTTATATGTTGTTTAAAAGAGTGAATAGTATCCCAAAAATGGAGCAGGAGGAGTGCATACATCAAGGATTTCTGCTGTTACCACCTGTTGGAAAACTGCTTAAGGTACCTTTTGACTACCTGTTGATATTTTCTTTATTCTGGAATTAATATTCACTTCATCTTTTGTGTTTAAATATATATAATATTCATTTTATGAAATTAATTGTGTGGTAGATTGTTAAATGTATCTCATATCATAAACGCCACTGTCAAGTCTTTCTTTGTATAATTGTTACTTTACCTTTATTAAATAACAATAGAATTAAATGTCATAATGTTTCATTATAGATACAGTTTAAAAACCACTAATTAGTTACACAAAATATAGTATACATACTATTTTTTAAATCAAATATATGTACATTTTTTGTGTATAGTACACATAAACTATTTAATAATGAATGAAAGTTTTATCAGTGTTTGAAAACAAATATAAATATTTTAATTAAAAATATAAATATTTACCTTATTGTTGTCTGCAAAATACAAATATATAGCAGTTGTTTTCTCTTTTGAAATAATATAAATCTTTTTTATTTAATTAGATAGCTTTGGTAAAGACAAATTAGCCAGTAGAAAACTGTTGACTTACTTATTTATTTAATCTTGATTGGCCTCCTGTGTTTAAAATTAAACATGTTGATTGGATTTCTTTCATGATTCACCTTGTATAAACTAACAAATTATTTTTGATTTTGGTATACAATTTACATTTCTTCTTCCTCTCAAATCATTTCTATATTTCTAAATACTCAGTTTTCACATTTCTATGATACCTTTGTTTTTGACATTTACTTAAACTTCATTAACATCTTTAGTGATTCAAATTTTTTTTCTCCTCTTGTAATATTAAGCTTTTTCACATTCTTCATGCCATTCTTCTACTTTGATTGCCAAATCGGTAAACTTATAACTATCTATTTCTCTTTTTGTGTTTATTGTTAGACCAAATGGATGTATTACCTTTGTTGTGAATTGCCTCCTTTCTACAACACAAGAAGCGGGCCAGACAACTGCCTAAGTATATAGACTTGGAATAAATAATCCTTCATTGAAACATTTTTCCAAGTCGAACTGTTAATAATAATGCTTGTTGAATTTAAGGACACTATTTTATGTTGCACTTTAGTTACAAAAGGTTGTTTTTTACAAAAGTATTTAACTAACACTAAACTATTTTTCTGATATGTGAATGAAGGATTATGTAGAGTGTGTGTACTTTTGCACAATTCTTGAGATATATCTACTGTCAGGTACGAAAACGAAGTCTGGTGCAAGTGAGAACTATTCTAATGGAGGATCATGGACGGAATCAATGTTTTATAGGGAAAAAGAACCACCAACTTTTAATGGTTTTAAATGTATGAATGTATTTAATGTATGAAAAAAGCACTTTTTCATACATTCACAAAAAAATAAAACAATAAAACTAAAAGATTTATTGCCCTTTTATGAGTTCCGAAAACAAGTAAATGTTATTGAACCAGTCCTAGGTAAACAAAAAACTCGTTTTTTGTAATGAATTAGTGAAGTAGTTGGTAGGAGCAAAAACATTCATGACTACTTGTGGTCGTAAAAATGATAAATTTTTATATTGAGAAGAGGAGAATTGGCGGTAAAATAATATCGAAGTGTGTTTGTTTTAGCGGAAGTCTCAATGAAAAGCGGACGAGACAAAAACTCATTTTATTTGAGTTGAGGTATATCGAAAATAAGTAGAATATATTTTCGTGTTTTATTAATAATTGTAACAAAATAAGGGGGGATTAAGGGTGCTATGTTAGACTATGTTAAGACTTTAACAATCATCCTTATGTTTCATTTGTTGTTGTTTGTTTTTAAAACTTGGTTTTTTCATTTCCCCTAAGTATTGTTTGTAATATTAGTGTTAGCTTAAATAATACCCTAGACAATGCTTACATGAAAATAATGATTAACAATTAGCAACATAGTAGATGATAGATAAAATGATAAACAATTGCCACTTTTGTCTTTATCTAACCATGACACACATGACCCCAGAGTTTCTAAGTGTTCTACCAAGACCAGAGTTGGAGAAGCAACCATTTAGAGACTTTTCAAACAACAAAAGCAAGAAATTATTCCAGAAACACTGAAAATGTCAACAGGAAAAAACTCCTGCAAATAGGCAATATTGTAAAAGAAACAATTCAAAGAGAAGTGCCTTAATGAGATACCTACTTGGATAAACTTTTAGCACATTCATAGTGATGAAACTTTGCCAAATGTAGCAAATGTACTTTGTCAGTTCGTCAAATAATACATTTTTTACTGATCAATTCTGTCATAGTTATGGACAAAGCCAGTTACCATTTCAAGATTAAAGGAAAACTGAGTCAGGAAGGTATCGATATTTAGAATTTTTCTACTTTTAAGAGTCCTGTAAATAGACTGTTGTAATCCTTTGACATAAAAACTGTGCTCTCATGCCAAATCAAGTATACTACAAACTCTTTCACATGGCATATTTTCTTTCTCATAAAAATGTGTAATTTTCTAATATTGTTTCAAATTCTCAAATTTCATACCATAAATTCATACATGCTTGGCGGAGGAAGGCGATGAATAGGGACGACTGGAAGAGAATTCTTGGCGAGGCTATAGTTCATTCGTTTAGCAAATTCCCATCTGTCAACAAATACACGTGTTGATATTCGCCCTCTCATTCGTCAAGGGGCTATTAAATATAATTTATTGCCTTAAGCCATACAGATTCTCATATTACAGATCCAAACTTGCCGGTCTGTTTAAATTTAAATTGTATCGTGTTGGTTTTTAAGTTAACATATTGTGTGTTATATTTATGTTATAGCTTTTGTTAAGTTATTTACTGGTCGTGTTATTTTTGAGAGTTAAGTTTAATTGTGATTTAATGATGTAATTTCAAGAAATTCTTACACTTATAGTTTCAAAAGTAAATAGTTTTAAAAATCATATGATACACATCAGTACGACCCTGTTTGGCTCTCACGTGCTTTTGTTGACAATTGGGAATATGTAAAATGAATGTAGTTTAGGACCCACACAGGGTTGTAATGCTAAAATGATGATGATGTTGAAATTGTAAGTTTAGTTTCTTGTTGTTATAATTTATCAGTTTTTTTATTACCTCTGTACCTACATTTCATAAGACAAATAGTTTGTTTTTTTATATGACTATTTAAAGAATATGTGGTGGGTGTTTTTATGATTGGAGTTGATAAAGCTGGATAATTTCGACATTGTTAATTTACTGAGGAAATTCAACAAAAGAAAATATGAAGATTATAGAACCATAAGTCTTACAGGTCAGATATTGAATTTTTTTTTAAAGATGTATAGCAGAGAATGGTAAAATAAGAAAAAAACAATATATTTATACTAAATAATTAAAAAAATATTACTTAACATTAAATTTAAATGAGTATGATAAATTTAAATAAATAAATAAATTTTAGATTTAAATAAAATTACATAAAGAAATATTAAATATTGAAACATACCATAGGATTATAGGATGAGACTTAAATGCTACAATATTGGAAACATACCCATTTCAAAAGTAATGGAAATAAACAGAGGACATTATCAGAATCTGTAGTATAATACTAGCAGTTGTTCTATCCGTAGTAGTGTTTCCATATTTGTTTCTTTTTTTGTACATATTTTTGTTGCCTATGTTGTTCTTATTTCGCCTTAAAACTTTCAAACTTTTGTTTTCTTGAATTATTTTAGTTATTTCTCTTGTATTGTTTTCTCTTACGTCTTTTTGGATTAACCGGTGGATATCTTTATATAATTTCTTTACTGTTGTGTAGTTGGAGCCGTATTTTTAAGTCAGCTGTCTTCTTTTACCAATTAGCTCTTTGATATTTTAGTTTAGTTTTTCTTTATGGATTCCATTTCATTTTATTTTAGTGCCTTCGTTCTGTCATCATTTGCTTGATCTATATGTTCTAGTTCGTCTTGCAATTCTTGTATATGTGTGGTTATTGTACCTTCGTTTAGGTCGTTGTTTTCTGGGGGATTGTATACCTTTTCGTGTTTTAGGTTCATCTTTCTTCTTTCTAATTTGATATTTAATAGTGTAAATAGCATATTTATATAATAATAGGAACTGTAAATAAATAGAATTGACTACTACTACATGTCTACTTCGTTTTCTCTTGCCTTCTGGTTGCCATTTTAGTATCTCCTTTGGTATTCGTTGTTCATCCATTGTTTGTATATGTCCGATATGTCCGAACCAGATAAGTTGTTTTGTTGATAACTCATCTGTCATCATTCGTTTGATTCTTATTAAATTTCTAATGAGTGCGTTGTTAATTCTTTTGCTTCTAGATCTTCCTACCACTCTTCCCCAACAGAAATCCATTTCTATTGCTCTCAGCGTTGCCAACGTTCTTTCCTTCAGTGGCCATAACTTACAGCTGTGTAGAGTTCTACTTTTACCTTTTTATTTTCTTTGCTGATGGATTGGTCCCATAAAATACTGTTTAAGCATTGTAATGGCTTTTCAACCTGCCGCATTTCTTTCTTGTATGACTTTGTTTAATGTTCTATCGTGCAAAATATTGATACCTAGAGATTTGTAGTTGTAGCAGTGCTTTATTGTGGTTTTGTCGTCTAACATGAGATCTTTTTGTTGCACAAGTAGTCAGTTTTCTTTTTATTTAGTTTTAAACCCGATATATCCCAAATAATATAACCCAAAATTTAATTTTTGGAGTATATAGTTTAAATTGTTATAATCTTAAGCCAATATTACTTGATCGTCTGCAAAGGTGAACGTATATATATCATCATCATCATCATTATCAGCGTATTCTACCAATTATGGTGCAGCCTCCCTTACATAGTCGTTCTTCATGTCTGCCCACGACTGTCTAATATTCGCTTTTCTGTGCCATGTTGTACCGGCTTGTTTCCTTATGTCATAGTCCCATCTTAAATTTGGATGTCTTCTGGTCTCTTGACGCCTCTTGGATACCACAGAGTAATTCTAGTGGACCATCTATTGTCAGTTCTTCTTGCTAAATATCCCGCCCACTGCCATTTTAAAG